AGTTTTCTCAAACTCTTCTGGAACCCCCCAAAATGCAGAGAACAAATATTGACTCTGCTTCCTATAGTCAAGGGGAGGATTAGGTATTGGGGAGAACCTATTGCAAAAGCTCATATCACTTCAAAGTATTGTGGAAATGTTTGTAGGGTAAGAGAATAAAGTACTGCCAATGCATTTCAAGGAAAGGCCTCCCTCTTCTTTAGTGGATGTTGTTAGAATCACAATGCAATGTAATAGAAGACCTATGTTAGAGCTCAGTAGACTGTTATCTCTTAAACACACTGTGAACTGTTGGCTGGGTCAAGGGCTGACCTGCCTCCTCCTGCTTCTTTTGGATGTCTATTGGTTCTTCAGTATTTTGGTCTGGCTGAATAACCAGTAGTTCTGAGAGGATCTAAAGCTAGCTATACATCGCTCACATTTTCTGCTGAAGCAGCCAAAAGTGTGTGTGTGTTGGATGGTCCTGTTGGCACCATGCGCCTCGCAAGAGTTAATTTAAAAATGGAAGCAGGGTGGAAAATTATCAGCCAAATAGTGACTGCTTCTTTCTGGCAACTCAGCCATGCAGCTAATTTTTGTTCAATTATCGTCCTATTGTGCTTTTTGAAACAACCACACTGTCTTTTTTCACAGCAGCCTGTATTTCTCCTGTAGATACCTGTGGATTTTTCTTTGTATCCTGAACAATTCTTATGGCAGTTGTGGCTGCAATCTTTCTTGGTCTACCTGACCTTGGCTTGGTATCAAGAAACCCCCGAATTTTCCACTTCTCAATAAGTGATTGAACAGTACTGAGATAAAATAAAATAAACCCGCACCAAAAAAACTCAATGACTTAATAAATGAATGCTGCTGCTCATAGATGGAAGAGACATCAATTCAAAATATGACCAAACCGCAGCGCAAAAAATATTATATATATATAAATTTCATCAAGTGAAAACAAATAAGTGAATATATATAAACATTTTTTTTGTAAATGTATATAAATAAAGTCCAAAAGTCCCAAATCAGTGGTGAAAAATGTGCTCCAATCAGAAGATAGTGCTCAAAAACGTACCCATACCATCCGTGACTTCCAATCTGGCCGGCACTCACCAAATAGAATGGACTCTTAGCTGGTAGGGCTTAAGAGTCAAACAGGCTTAAAGGTGGGATATATCCTCCACAAATGTATCCCACTCAGGAAACCCTTTCTTGACAACCTCCAAACAAACACCTGTAGATTGTCCCTCGGCTTGCAGAGCAATTTTTTCTTCTTCTTGAGTTTGTAAGGAAACTGCTATCAACCGCTGAACAGCGCTGATGGAGTAGGTACAGGACATACACCGGATGATAGGATGGGACAGGTAGCTAAGTCCAAACAGCCAGGCGACAGTTCCCCGGACCATCCACTCTCATACAATTCATCAATCCGACCACAACGTTACCTTTGAACAGTACTGACTAGCATATTCAAGGCTTTGGATATCTTTTTCTATCCTTTTCTATCCTTATAAAGTACTATTACCTCACTACGCATGTGTTTTGACAGTTCTTTTCTGCTCTCCATGGTTCACTATCTAGCCTGCTCAGTGCATACATGTGAGAGCTAACAATCTCATTGACTATTTATATACAGATACTAACTGCAATGTAAAAGTCACAGATTTGGACATTTAAACTGTAATTGCCATTTTAACCCGTGTGTATCACCTTGTGTGTATGTACCAAGGTCAAACATTCCAGGGTATGTAAACTTTTGATCATGGCAATTTGGGTGATTTCTGTTATCATTATGTTTAAAAAAAGAGCCAAACAACTATGTGATAATAAACGGCTTCATATGATCACTACCCTTAAATAAAAGACGTTTTTTTTTTAATGATCAGTCACATTTCAATATCAATGCCAAAAGTCCATTATTTCTGCCAGGGCATGCACATTTTTTAGCACAGCTGTACATGTACTGCCTGTGTCACCTGCCTGCCCATTGGATGGTAAATTAGTATAATCAAATTTGATTTATTGTGAAATGAGGAAATAAGTGATAAATAAAGCTGCAGACATGTTTCCTGCCTGGCTGTGCCTTCTGGCAGGGGTGTAATTCACAGGACTGACAGGAGAGAATAACAAGGGTTAAACTTGTTCACAAAAATGTTCCAGAAGAATATTCTGGAATTCTGCCGATTTGTCAGATGTGATTTTGGAAGCTCTGTGTGGCTTTAACAATGTTTGTTACCCTACAAAATAGTTTAATGTAACCTCACAGCAGTTCCTTCTATTCGGCTACCTGCTGTTTGAGCCTTTTGTAAGCCTTTGTGTAGATAACATGAAAAAGGTTATTATAATTAAAGTTGTCTTTTACTTCTTTTGAATGGAAATGCCCATACCGTTTTTTTTCAGGTATGCCTTTTCTTTCCCTTTAAAGCGAAGCTGTCAGAACAGTGAAGAGATGAAACACAGCTGTAGTGCTACCCTTTTGAGGGCCATTCTGTCTAAGATTAGCACAGCCAGTCAACCCACATTTTTCAAACCTGCATCCACAGTCAGTGAACAGTCCATGAGCTTGGCTTTTGTTATTTTTCTTAGGGAATCTAAATTGGATAGGGCAACAGGGATTATAGGATGCCCAACTTGACTGAATCAATGCATGGAGACAACGTCCTTCCTATTTACAAAAACAGACCCCGGACTATTCTTTTCCTTGAAAGCAGTCAGTTACTATGGACCAGTAGCAGCTGCCCTGGCGAGGACTCTCAGCCCCTCTGAAAGTTAGCTTAGCTTGTTGCAACTACATGCAGAGATGTCTTCTCTCCCCTGTAGAACTGCTCCCAGCTCCAGAACCCACAGACACTACCAGCCCTCCTGGCTGCTCTGAAGATCTCCCAGGACAAGGATTAAGAACAGTCCTACATGTGGCAGTCTCTCCTTTTGTGCTTTTGTGAATCCCTGGGTGTGCTGCTGTACTTACTCTGTCTTCCTTGCTCCCACTGCTCCAAGGCATGGATGCTGTTCATACTGTGATGCTGAATACATCCTCCTGAGCCAGCCCCGAACCCAGCCTGGAGGACACCCCCTTAGACCTAGGGGACCCCTCCCAGGCCATTAACAGCCTCCTCAGCACTCCATATTCCACCAACTTAAAAAAACTTCCTTGCCAGCCAGAATCTCCCATATTTATGGGTTGGCCTCACCACTCTACCAGGGCCTCCAAACCTGGGATTGGTTAAACTCTTATAAACATGTAGATTAGGTCTCCACCTCTTCTGCCCACTGGCTTCTGGAAGTTTCCATGGTCCTCTAGAACCAAGCGAAGGTGATAGAGTCCCAACCTGTTTGGCCATCTATCCTGACCTTCAGTAGCCAGACCTGTTTACAGACTCACACAGTTACCATGAGTCATACACAATCAATTTACCTACACTACCCTAGTAGCACATTAGAGAATGCCACACAGCCATCATCCTATAAGCAGAATTTTCTCTTTAAATACAGTATTTATATTATTTTACACTTAAGGAGAAAATTCAGCCCCAAGCTTGTCATCCCACTTCATTTACTACAAGTCATAGGACCATTTCCTGGTCTGTTTCAAAAGCTATCGACTGAATTTTTTGTCTACCTAATCTTTGCCTCTTCAAGTGTGTGTTTGCTTTGCGCTGGTATACAAAAAACATTCAATTGCTTTTAGTGATCCTATAAGGCTTTTTCACATAGGTGGCTTGGGGGGGCATTAAAGAGAGACTTTTGATCACCATGACTGCCCACCTACAATACAGCTGAAGGAGGCTGTTCATTTGCCACAGCAAATTTAATGCTGCATGTTGAGTTGAAAGTTGACATGGTCTGTCAAAGTCGCCCCACTCAAGCCAGTGCAGGCGAGCCACAACCAAGAGACAAACACTTGGCTAGCCTTTGCGGCACATTCGTCTCATTGAAAATTGTTTTGCAAAAAAAAAAAAAAACAGCCATTCAGGAGGCGGCAGGATCACCTTCCGAACATCTGACACCAACTGCTTAGACGCACTCTGAAACGGTTTTCGCTTTTCAGAGACTGTACAAGTGTGAACCTAGACTAAAAGAAGAGGTTTAATGGCTCATTCACACGGTGTCGGAAACCCGCATTCCGCATCTCATATCGCTTTTAAAAACGCTCTAGGTGTACAATCTGCTGTATTCCTGACAACACCCCTGATCAAAAGGCAGTGTGGTTGCTTGCATCAGTTGGCATGGAATTTCAATGCATGCACTAGCTTTGGTGCTATCCAGTGTGATTTCAGCCCTTTCAATTAAATGGGCTGAAAATCATATTGCACTGAATAGCATAGGAATTGCTGAGGAGCGTGGACTGTGAATGAAGCGGCACTAACATTTATGTAAGGTTGGACTAAAAGTTTTTAAAGAATTGATTTAGTATCACTTTAACTATGAAAATGCTACATATATTTTGGTAAGGGGCCAATGAGTAGAAGCTCTATCCTGTCTCAAAATGGCAATTGCCAGTTTTTTAATAAACATAGGTGAAAAGTTGTCTATCTTTTAATGAAAATAATAAAGGCAGTTAGTATTTGACAAATGTCTTAGCAGCTATCTCCTATTGAAGTTAACTTGGAAACAAGGTCTCTGAAAATTTACACAGAGACAATACCAGGAAAAGTAATTAAAGTCCTTCGCTTTATCTACATAGAGGAAAATTGTGAGCACGGAAATAATTGCAGATAAGTACAAAATGTTCATGCTGCCTTGTTGCTGGATTATATTAAATGGTTTTAGTGATGAAAAAAGACTTCTGAGACCTAGCACCATTACTGCTATCCTACCTACAGCTTCTTCTAGGGTTTTATATTATTATATATATATATATATATATATATATATATATATATATATATATATATATATACATACACACATACACACTATATTGCCAAAAGTATATGGCCAGCCCTCCAAATCATTGGATTCAGGTGTTCCAATCACCTCCATGGCCACAGGAATATAAAATCAAGCCCCTAGGCATGCAGACTGCTTCTACAAACATTTGTGAAAGAATGAGTCGCTCTCAGGAGCTCAGTGGATTCAAGTGTGGTACTGTGATAGGTTGCCACCTGTGCAATAAGTCCATATGTGAAATTTCCTTGCTACTAAATATTCCACGGTCAACTGTTAGTGGTATTATAACAAAGTGGAAGCAACTGGGAACAACAGCAACTCAGCCACCAAGTGATAGGCCACATAAAATGACAGAGCGGGGTCAGCGCATGCTGAAGCACACAGTGCGCAGAAGTAGCCAACTGTCTGCAGATTTAATAGCTAAAGACCTCCAAACTCTGTGTGGCCTTCAGATGAGCAAAACAACAGTGCGTAGAGAGCTTCATGGAATGGGTTTCCATGGCTGAGCAGCTGCATCCAAGCCTTACAACACCAAGTGCAATGCAAAGCATCGGATGCAGTGGTGTAAAGCACGCCACCACTGGACTCTAGAGCAGTGGAGATGTATTATCTGGAGTGACCAATCACGCTTCTCTAGCAATCCGATGGACATGTCTGGGTTTGGCGGTTGCCAGGAGAAGGGTACTTGCCTGACTGCATTGTGCCAAGTATAAAGTTTGGTGGAGGGGGGATTATGGTGTAGGGTTGTTTTTCAGGGGTTGGGCTTGGCCCCCTAGTTCCAGTGAAGGGAACTCTTAAGGTGTCAGCATACCAAGACATTTTGGACAATTTCATGCTCCAACTTTGTGGGAACAGTTTAGGGATGGCCCCTTCCTGTTCCAATATGACTGCGCACCAGTGCACAATGCAAGGTCCATAAAGACATGGATCAGTGAGTTTGGAGTGAAGGAACTTGACTGGCCTGCACAGACTTCTGACAACAACCCGATAGAACACCTTTGGGATGAATTAGAGCGGAGACTGTGAGCCAGGCCTTCTCGTCCAGCATCAGTGCCTGACCTCACAAATGCGCTTCAGGAAGAATGGTCAAATATTCCCATAGACACCCTCCTAAACCTTGTGGACGGCCTTCCCAAAAGAGTTGAAGCTGTTATAGCTGCAAAGGGCGGGGCCAACTCAATATTGAGCTCTATGGACTAAGACTGGGATGCCATTAAAGTTCATGTGCGTGTAAAGGCAGCGGCCCAATACTTTTGGCAATATTATGTGTGTGTATGTATATATATATACAGTATACACACACATACACACACACACAGTATATTGGCATATTCTTGAACAAAGAGTGCCATTCTCTTACACTACCTGTATGTGTGGTTTCATTTATACATTATTTTACTCATGTTTTCATACTTTTTTCCCTTTTACATCAATTTAATATCAAGAATGTGTCAATTTAATAATGTTGATTATTATGTTCTTTCTGTATTGTCTTACACTTGTACAATTAAATCATATAATGTATGGTCTAAGTTGCACACATCATTTTACCCATTAGGTCAATTTTATTACTGAGAATGTATAATTTTAACAATGATGATTATGATTAGTATTGTCATTAATACTGTTATTATATTAATATTATTACTATCATTATTTTTATTAATACTATTATATTATTTTTATTTATTTTATGTACAGTCAGATTGTATATGTATGGTTCAATTTTTATACACAAAAACATACGTTTTTAATTCTTACCAGGATAACATATCACCCACAATGCATGATTTTTAATAATAGCTACTATTAGTATTATTATTAATATTGTTTTTATTAATTTTTTTTCTCAGCACCCATACTCTCATTTTTGTTCAGCACTCATGTCTTTATTTTTGTTTTTAATTATTTTGACACACTCATTACTATTGCTTGGTTTTAATTATGACCCTGTGGAGGGGATATTGTATCAATATCAGATTTATATGAAAATCTTATGTTCTTTCTAACCCTGAGGAAGGGGGCACGTAGACTCCTGAAACACGTTGTCTACTTTTTAAATTGTACCCTTGACCTTTAATGGAATAAAGTTGTATCTGGACCTCTTAGCAGTAGTGTGCCACTTCAATTTTCAACTCTTTTAACATACTCTTACACGGGGCTTAGCACTCTTCCCTGTTCCCAAGTGACAGTGATGGGTACCTGCTAGCCAATCATCAGCATTCAGGTGGTAGAAAAGGAGATGAGTCCCATGCTTCCCAATTACCATTACCAGTTATTTCTGCTCACTCTTACTAGTGTAAAGAGTGGGGAATGAAGGATGAGTGTAATTTGCAATAAGGTGAACCTGTCGTTTTTGCCCTGCATCAGCAAAGCACAGGTTTACTTTAAAGGGGGTTCTTTCACATGCTGTGCTAGCTTGATATGCTCACACACTTATACAGGTGCATTCAAGTACTAGTGTCCAAGACTGGGCATGTCTCCAAGGCAGCTATCTGCCAGTTTTTTAAATATTTGGGTGCATGCCAGCATTGAGTTCTCCAGCTGTTTCAGCTTTATAATCGGTTCCTAATCTGATAAAATTCTCTAACTATAAGGACAAGCAACCCATAGAAGGTGCCGTCTATGATTGCATGCAGGAACAGGAATGCCACTATGATCCATTATGCCTGAGAATATAGTCTACTGGGAGCTGTGCCATCACTGCCTAGAATATGGTTACCTTCGATGCATGAATATGACAGATGGCCATGTAGTAAAGAATACAGAAAAATAATTCTTTGGCTTTGGGAAAAAAATGGAACAAACAAAGCTACTTTTTCAGTTTTTCAATTCCAATTATGTTCTGCTGCCGACAACTTTGTTCTAATGTTTCCTTTTTGTTCTCTCTGGTATTGCAAGTCTTTTAGGTGAAATCTTTGGAATCAACACCTCATTAATCACATCACAAAATCAGAAAGCCTTGGATGAACTAATGCTCTGTATGTGTTAATTAGAAAAGCTGCAGGCATCGGCAAGGACACATAGGCGTTTTTTTCCTCTGCCTGCAATATGTACGCAATGGCTCATTTCTATTCAGCGATAATAGACTTTAAAACTTTTTTCTCTGTTACATATTAATCTGTTCTGCAGAGAATGTATGCAAGTTGGTATATACTTCTGCCACCTAAAATGTAGACGTTTGTTGACTGGAGAATAAATTAAAGGTAGTTTATTTAGTCTTCTATTAAAAGGAACCTGTCTAGAAAGAACTAAGGGACTTGTCATTGCTGACTTGTTTCTGGAACTGCAGGTTCCTGGGATTTCATCATTGGTTTTTTTGTTTACTTCTTGGTTGTCTAGGACTAGCATGAGGTGTCAGGAAACATTAGGGACTTGAAAAATGCATCACCAAAACAAGGCCATAGCACCTTGGTGTTTTTATATTGACTGATTCGCAATTAAGTGGTATTCACCTCCCTCACATTCTCATCAAAGCCTATATCACACCCAAAAATACTTTTTCTTAGTTCTTGAGTGGAAAGTATTAGAACTCCTGTTGGGTGTTTACTGCTATCTAAGGTTTAGTTAGAGAGATGCACCCTAAAGTCCTATCATAAAAGTAAAACAAAAATGAATGCGGTCCACTGATTAGTCTTCTTAATCTCTCATCTTGATTATTCTCCCCTCGTTGGCCTTCTTCTAGTCTACACAATCAACCATGAAGGTTGGTGGTCAGGTGGTTTGCAATATTCCTTACCAACTGTTTTGTGTCCTCCACCCTTCTCTGCCAATCCCTTCACTGGCTTCCACTTGCCCAACAAATAAAATCCAAAAATGTCAACATACAAAGCCCTGCCACTCTGCTCCGAGCTATCTTACCAACCTCATCTCTATATATCAACAACCAAAATATCCTTTTCGCTCCTACCAAGACCTTTTGTTCACATGCTCCCGTGTCTGCACCTCCCATGCTTGCCTCCAGGCCCTCCGGAATTAGAAGTCTTATGGTAGCTAGATGATAGGAACACTTGGAACGCTCTACCCAAAACTCTCCAGCTATCTCCTACTCTCTAACTGATCCCTGAATACTCATATCTTTAGGGAAGCCTACTTTGCCATGTTCTTTTTTTCTCTTCTACCCGTAGCTGAGGGCTGTCAGAGGTACAAGCAGGGGCATATCTACCACAAGGCAAACAAGGCATTTTACGGGGGGGGGGGGGGGGGCGCTGCTCCCATGCAGAAGGGACACCGTGGGTGTCAGCGGCAGGGTCATCATGGGGGAGGGGGGGAGGGGTTGACAGCCGAGCCAACCTGACCCACCCAGTGGAGCGGCTGCAGAAGAGCGGAGTGGTGGGTACATCCAGGAAACGCGCAAGGGCTGGAGCCTGCTGTCAGTGTGGCATCCTGGCACCATATGGAGAAGCCACTGCTGAACAGGAAAGAGCTTGGAAGACTGGTGCTTCACCACTCCTGGTCCCGCTGCCTCTCCTGTCATGCTGTCCCCCTCCTGTCCCATGGCCCCATCATCACACTGCCCCACTCCTGTCCCGCGCCCCTGTCACGCTCTCTGAAGGGGTAGATCTTAAACTGGAAGGGGTGGGACAAATTTAGATGGGGGTACACCCAATTTTAGTCTTGCCTTGGGCAGCACAAAACCAAAATATACAACTGGGTGCAAGTGCAGGGCTATTAACCCTGTGTCATATGTGCAGGAGGCAAGCATGCGATGACAGCAGTGCTGGATCAATCACAGGCATGGAGGAAGACTGTGAGAGCCAGGCATAAGATACACATTACACCTTGTCCCTGCACCCTAGACTGAATAAATAACCCTTGTAGTGCATGTAATCTGCAGCTAGGCTCCAAGCCTGAGTAAGGGTGAGATGTCACCGATGTCCCCCCACCAGCTGTAGCGGAGTACACATTAGAGGCAACAAGAAGTAAAGTCTGAGTCACACCTTTCCCTTTTCAATAGATGCTGCAGTAACAGTAAAGGACATTATTGCACAATTCCAATGCTATAATAGGAACTACCACATCTTGCCTGCAGGTGCTTTGTATTCTTCTCTATGGTGGTCTTGTGGAGGACTCTCTGAGCCTCAGAAATCTGACCACATGTATATCTGCAAGCAGACAGCATGCTCCTTATGTCAGCAATACACAAGAGATACATGAAAAGTATTGTAGGATGGGGAGAGGGAGCTAGTTAGAGCTCTAAGCAGGTCTGCAAGACAGGACTAGCATGGTACGTTCAGAAATGTGCAGGGTCTGTTGTTACGCAATATGGCAGCTAAGATCACCTTCATGAAGTTCATTTTAGCAAACTCTTCACTTTATTAAGCATTGCAATCATGTGCTGTGTATTTGCCTGGAGCAGCTACTGGTTTTCTAATAAAATGGTCTGAATCTGCTTTTATTCTCACAGAATAAGTAATTTTTTTTTTCAGCTAGATGCAGGTTGGAAAGAATTCAGAAAATGTCATGATTTAAATTCCTGACACACAGCAAACCTTGAGAACCATATGTAAATGTTTGCATTCAACCAGCATGACTTGTGACTTTATGCCTCATGCACACCGGGCGATTAGCCCTGCTGCACGAGACTGGTG